AACCCCCCCCCCCCCCCCAAATCCTTGAAAAAAATATGTAAACAAACCTCTTTTTTGGCTTAAACCAAACATGCTCTGAGTGATTAGTGCTACTGGTTCCAAGGGGGATTTGAGGCAATTTGTGCTGCTACTATGACACCATGTTGTGACCCTCTAGCTCTATTGCAGTTTCTCTGGAAACAGCAGAACAATCCAAGTCAGCTCTCTAGTCTGAGGCTCAAGATTTCATGAACAGATGTGCTCCTAGCAGTGGCACGGTCTGGTCACTAATAACCAGAAAATTACATGCTTTGTAAGAGAACTCGCAAGCAAAGTAAAATGGTTGACAATTATATACAGACCAAAAGAACACAGCACCTCTACCACACTGAAAATGAAACCAATCCTACACATCCTGCAGCAGGGCACAGCACAGCACAGCACTCATCTTCAGTGTTTTGGTTATGGTGCCCTAACCCTTCAGCTAATCATCAAAGAGTTCAACCCTTTTTAGAGCGGACTCCCCAAACAAAACAAAAGAACCTTCAGCTACCTCCTACCCTCGTCTCCTTTCAGCTGGACACCAGTATGGCTCCTTTACTTTATTTCAATATGTTCCTGTAAAGAGTCTACCCTCATGTCAGGGGGCACTGGCAGATGGTAGTCTCAGTTTTGACTTGGCTCTTGTTAGACTTCTTGTTGGGAGCAGTAGTTACCAGCCTGATCCCCTCTTCCTGGTCAAGTCCAACTGAGCTGTGCTCCTTAAGCTTCAGACTTTATGCCTACCAAAGGTATAGCAGGGAAGTTGCTGACTGGGGTCACTGCAGCTTGCTAAGTTCTTGGCTTGCATGGGATCAACATACTTCATCAAATGTCTTGTGGAATTTCAGCTGTTAGTTGTGTTCGTTTTTTCTCTGTCCACACACAGGATATGTACCAGCTTTTTTTTTTAATTTACTGCAGCTGATAGGAGTCCAAACCCTGAACCCATCAGGTCCTCCTATTTTCTCCACTTTGAAGGGTTCTACATACATCATATTTAACCTTATGGTTAAGGCCCACATACTCCATATACCTGGTTGTTACAGCCCAAGAAATCCCATCCTATTAGCAGGCATAACTGTGCTTCCCTGACTGCCCCCAAGAAATTCTTCCCAGACTCCAGTGGCTGAGAACTTGGAAGTTCTATAGCTTTTTCTCCCAGTGAGCTCCGTTGGCTTTCACCTTCTTACCTTTGAGAGGCAATTCTCAATCAGCCCCACCATGCAACTCCCTTCTTTCCAGGTAATGCAGAACATGAAGTTCACATCAAGTAGGTCCTATGGAAGCTGTTTTGGGACAACATGGTCAACCATTATTTCAATGAAACTTGTTTTCAGTCATAACTGGCCAGTAGTCAGGTTCCCCAGTCAGCAGGCCATTACATTCAGTTGGGCTCCTCCTGAAGATCATTCTATTTGGAAACTGTGTGTGCATGTCTACATTGCATTAATGTGCTTTAATTAATGCACATTAAATCTAGTACCTCCGGGCTTTTTTACACATGTACGAGCCACAGCACCGGGAGCCTTGAAAAGAACTGGGTGCTGCAACACTTGCAGTTGTACAAGTGGCAAAAAGTGCATCAGCACTGAGAAAGTGGCAGCAGCGCGCTTTTGAACTAAAACACATAGAAGGTACTTTAGTTCAAAATCACACCACTGCTATTTTCTGTGTGCTGATGTGCATTTCGCTGCTTATACAACTGCACGTGGCACAGCGCAGTTTGCATCATATTGCGTGCAGAACAGACTCGATTAACTGAGCCTGCTCCGAAGCAGCAGATCTCCGGCACATCGTGGGACAAAAAAGTATGTGTATAAATACCCTCCCATTGTGAGGTACTAGGAAAATGCACCTCTTAATGCGCATTAACTGAAGAGTATTGTTTTTAGTGACACTTTAGTGAGCATTAGCCTATTTTAATGTATATTAGCAAAAGTGCATTTTTTTAATGATGCTTTAATAAGCATTAAAATACACTAATACGCATTAAAGTGCACATGTAGACATGGCCAGTGCTGCCAGGCTTCTAGCTTAAGATAGAAAAATTATTATTATTTTACTGAAGGCTTTGAGCTAGCCTGATCAGTACTTAGAAGGGGAATAGGCTTCTCCCAGCAGGAACAGTACCAGCCCAATGATTCACTTGACTGGTCACACTAGTCTTTCACTCAGAAATGCAGTTGGTGAAAAACCTGGGGCTTGTCTTCAGGGAAGCGGAAGCAGATGGCAGCTTTCTGTCGGTTCCCAGCCAGAGTCAGGTTCCTGATTCAACAGGGGTGTTGCCAGCCCACACTCCTTCCTGGTTTGCCACACAGATCTGTGTTCCCTCTTTAAATACCCAATACTTAGCATAGGACTAGCAGGGTCAAACTTAGAAAGTGCGGTGATAACCCCCTTTCCTAGCTAACATGGGGTTTTTATGCCACACCATATTCTGTTAACAGTAATTTTAAAAAGCCTTATGAACTAGTCAGTTATACGTACGCTTTCCTGCCTGGTTTAGGCTTATCAGATAACTAATCCAGGCAGGAGCACACAGGCCTTCCCAGCACGGCTGTGCATGAGGTGCATGGGGCATTTTTACCTGGTAGCAGCAGCACCTCAGTTGAGAACCAGACAGGTAAGCTGAGGCAGCAAAAAAGTGGTTCTCCACCACAGTGCTTCCAACTTAAAACAAAAAAAGTTATGGACAAGGCCGTGAACCTAAAAAGGTTGAGAACCACTGACAACCTTTCAAAAGCATTAGGAATTTTCTGGTTATAGGGGCTTACAAACGTACACTGTTTTAATGATTCTTCTTTTCTTGCATGAGCAATCAAACTGACTTTTTTGGTTCAACACTGACTACTTATAACTATATAAGTACTAAAACCTCAGATGCATATGTAGACATACAGTTTCTTAGCCTGCTGCAATAACAATGCTTGCCTATAGCATATCATGTGAACAAACGGTTACATGCCTCAGCTGTTTTTAGTTATGTCTAACAGCCCTTCCACTATTTATTCTGTAAGTGGTACTACTATATAGCACTATTACCAAGATGAAAGAAAATTCAAGTCACAATAATAAAATTCAATTATGAGAACTGGCATTTCTGAGTAAAGCTAGAAATCTCTCTTGATCTGTAAAAACCAAAAGATACAAGATGCCATCTAGTGGCATTTCTTCATTCTTCACCAAACAAGAAAAGTGCAGTGCAAAAGTATAAGCAGTTCCTATCTAAAAGCCAAAATCAACTGCTGAAAGTACCTTCGTTTCCTTCACAGATTCATTGGAATCTGACAAGGCCATCCCATGATTGTTTCTACTATGGCCTTGAACTTGTGACCTCTAAGCTTTCACCCATGTGCCTGCCCCCACTGAAAGTGCAGTCTGATAAGTATATCTCATGATATTATGTTTCTCTAAAAGGAATAATTTTTCAGTTTAAAAAGGTCTAATTCAGGTATTTGACAGACATGATTTTCCCTTTTCAAAAGGCATAGTTAAAAACCAAATATTAAAATACAGAAAGTGAACTGTTTTAATAAGAAATTCCAATGAGGCAGAAGTAGTCAAGATTTGTTTCTTTTCACAGAAAATGTTAACACAAATCTGTAATAGCAGCACAATTTAATTTACCAAAAAGTTGGTGTCTGAAAGCCACAAGAATATACACAAAAAAATAGTTCTTATCTTTGTTTATACAAATAAAATTAAGTTTTGAATATACACAGTGTAACTTGGTGCAACATGTTGTTCATATTGGCATCCAAAGTTTAAATTCAATTAGTTGTAAATACAAAGAACCCAATATATTACATTCAGTCAAGCACCATGGCAGACAGTGCATTAAGGTCTCTCATGAATGGATGGTTTGCAAGTATTTGATCAATCTTCTGTCTTTGCTCAGAATCGGGAAATATTTTTACCAGTGCTTCTCTCAGCTGTTTTGTTTCGGTAACAGATCTTTGTGGTGGAACTGTTAGACAAGTCTGTGCATCTGGAATATCTGGTTGCAGTGGAAGCCAGGGAGATGAAGGACCAGGATGTGCTCTGTTCATAGATTGTCTACTACTATTGGCCAACTTGGGTACTGGCATGAAGACCGATGTCTCAGAAGAATGCAACCCAGCACTTGATAATGCTGTTTGTGTTGGTGGAAAATTTCTATGGAACAAAAATGAAATCTCAAACTAAGGAAGAGATGTGGAGATTCTTCTAAGAACAACAAAAAACGAAAAGCAAAAAGGTGTTCCAAAATCTTTACATTACTTGTAAGGTTGTTATGGACTAAAAATGCAATACAAAAATAATAAAGGATCAAATTTCATCCAAAAGACTTCAAATCTGAAACCCAAGAGCCCAAAAGCCTTGAATTTATATTGGATGCGTTTGGCTCTGATGTTTTATGTAGGTGACAAGTAGACTACACAGCAAAAACAGTTACTATTTTCATTTTTTTTTTAAATGCAAGGCTCTAACTTCAGTATTACTGATTAGCCATTAAGCCAACTAGTTGTGTCAGACATATTAACTATTTTCATTAATATAGATAAAAATCAGACAGGTTTGAGTGTCTAAGTTAAATACTAAGATTGGTGGTTTCTTTTTTAATTCTAAAACAAACCCTAAAAAATAAGGCCTGTATATCTACAGCAACTGTTCCTATACAAAACTGCCACTGACCTATCCGTTCAAGAAGCTATGCTCCTTTCAGTGATTTAGAGACTGAGCTAGGAAAAGCTTCCAACTTAAAAAAACCTTGGAAGGTAAACCAAACAATAGCAGCTATTTTTAAATCTTGTTCATAGGTTTTTGGGTTTTTGTTTTCTCTTTTGAAATTTAAAATGAAAAAAGTAAAATGAGAGGCATCTTCTTAAACACCATCACAACCCTCTCATTTAGTTCAAGAAATCGTGGCAAGATATTTTAATCGGCATAACATAACAACAATGTAAAGGTGAAAACAAAAAAAGAAAAAGCTGTGCCCATGCAACATGCAGTGTGTGCGCATCTCTATACTTTGTGCGCAGTGACGTCCACAGTACCCACATGGAGAGAATCAGTGTGGTCAATTAAGGTATTTAGATGAACTCTTGGTTTTATAAATCAGTACTTCTGCGTAATATCAAAACACCATAAAGTTCATCGCATTTATGTGAACACCCCCACAACCAAACCTCAGAGGAAGTTACTGAGTTACTTGTCTGACTTATTTTACCGATGAGTAAGATCTTGGTTAGCTGCACATAATGTCACCACCGATTTCTGAACAGACTAAAGTAAAAACAAAAACAAAACCAGTTTTTCCCCCCCACAAGACTCTTTAGAACCAGTGTTCTTGACATTTTGAATAATGTATACACTTACTTTTTGATTTAAGTAAATACTTTAAATAAAGCAGGGGAAAGGATTTCTTAGAGTGATATAATTCAATGAACCAACTGTGTATATTCTTGGTTCAATAAAAGACATCACCCTAAGAAATCCTTGCCTTTTGCATAATTTATGGACCATCATGGCTACAACATCACTCTTGTACTGTAATAAACAGTGGAACAGTATTTTCTCTGAAGTCACAGCTCGTAAAGCAAAACAGAAAGAGAATGAGAGTGGGCATGCGCAAGCACTATACCTAACACTGCCTTGATTCTGAAGGAAGTCATCTAATCTGGGTCCATTTCTTCCCAAAGGATCATCAGGAACCATGAATATGTCCCCAACAAAAGTGTACTGGAGCAATCTGCAACATTAAGTAGTTATGAAAAAAAACTATCAAAACAATTAAGTCTTTTTCCTGTCACCAGTATGTAGAATGAACTATACTTAATTTTTTAGCAGGACTCAAAACTGTGTGTTGTTGAGAACATCTGTTGTAGCTATAAGCAGTACTCACTGTCAAACTGTTAATGGCTAACTATAGAGACAGGACATTTCCACTGTACTCGGGGATACTGAATTTCTTGAACTATGAGGTTTGGGCCACTGTAACACAAGGTTCTGAAAACAGAGGAAGTGCAATGGGGCTGGTGAGAAAGGATAAGAAAAGTGTAAGGAAATGTTTGTTCAGAAAATTTCCTCCACAGAAGAGTTGGTCCAAGACCTGTATACTGCAATTGGCTACATAACCAATTGTGATCAGAGCAGCACCACAAGGACACACAAAGTACTGACAAGCCCCATGATTTGAATCTATGGTAAATTTGCACATCAAAGAGAGGCAGTAGCTTCTGCTGCATGAATACATTTGTCTACCCACTCACACAAGCCTGGAAAACACAGTCATGGAAGAAACAACTACTGCAGCAGCAACAGAAGCATCTCCATTATTTATATGCTGTAATTATTTCAGTCTTTTGTTCTTTGAAGATGATATAGGGGTAGTTCAAACTGTATTGGAAGCCAGCTGTGGTCTTTCCATTAACTTCTGCGGGCTTGAGATCAGACCCTAAGCAAAAGGAAAGGAACTGCTTTTTTACTTTAAGTTAAAAGCAAGCCATCCGATTTTAAATACTGAAATTTTTAAATTTTGTTTCTGAAGTTAGGTAAACATTGTTTCTTCATATAAAACGTGGAAGTATACTGCACCCATAATAGTGCATTTTCCCTCTTGTATACGTATTAGTAATTGGAACAATTTAGCCAGTTAAATAGAAAAAACACCCGACAACCACATTACATATTCAAAGAGCATACTATTGTAAAGCCTGAGAAAACACTGTGCATTAAAATGTTGGACTTAATACATGATCATCTAGCTTTCTCTATTTTTCTTTATGAAAATGGAGTCAGGTAACTGAAACTACTAAAATGGTTATTTACAATAAGTTTTTGTCACTATAAGATTAGACAGCTACAGTGGATTCTAAGAAGGACTATGTCTCAAATATCCATAAACCAAGGTTACTGTGGTACAGTGGCTGCTTCCTTGGGAAGTAAGGTCCCACCTACACGTTACACTTAAGGTGTGATTAACCAGTTAATCACGCTTTAAGTTGTGACCCAAACACGCATGTTAATGGCATGATAAAAGTAAGCAATAAGCCACAAAGTTAGTCCATATTTTTTGTAGCATAACTTTGTGTTTTTTTCTTATCACACCATTGGCCAGGTGCTTCCCTACAAGCCCTACAGCTGATGGGGCTCATAGCAGGGCCTGGGTTCCATACACTGTCCCCACTGTGAGCCTCATCAGCTGCAGAGCTCGCAGCAGCGGGAGCTGGTGAAGGGGGAGACCAGCATCACAAATCCCAGGCTCCCCTTGCACTGGCAATATGGCACAAGTGGATCTGATACTCGAACCCACAATCATGCCTCCTGCCACGCATGTGTGACATGGCAGGAGGCATGATTGTGTGGATTGAACATCAGATCTTATTATGCCTTTACCTGAATATCTAGAAGGGCCCTAAGTTTCTTACAGCAAGCATGAGATCAGGGCTCTGGGACCCTTGCTGCTTGTCTCTGTATGGAATTCAAAAATTGTTGCTTTCTAAAGCCTCAAAGTAGCAAAGGATCTAGTTATCTACCAGACAGACTACTTCACTCTGTGCCATAAAGCCGAGATTAATAGAAATATTTGAGTCATATACCCAGTAAGGCTTCAATAAGAGTGGTCTACTGGTGGGATGGTCTATGCAGCTTTATAATTTGCACCCTTATCATTTCCAACCAAGTCAGCATAATATTCAGGGCTCTTTGCACAATAGGTGAGGGGGTTACACTATATGGCACTGCCACACTGATGATTTGGGGAATCTCCACAGCTTATTAATTCTGGTTCATCTGATGGAATTGCTGTATCATTAAATTGTTCTGTCCTATTCAAGCAGGAGCTCCTTGACGCAATGGACGGCACAAGGTAAGTTCATCTCCAAAGATGGTTTTTGGCATGGTATTTTGCTTGAATGGAAATTCCAAAGACTTGAAGCTATAAGATTCAGGACACCTCTAACACAGGAACTGCAACTCATACACATATACTTTAAGCTAGCTTTAAATTACTTTGTTTGGCTACTGAGAGCAAAGTGGCAATAGGAGCACGAAGGTCTGTGCAGACTACAAGATCTACTGAATAAACTGGGTAACTAACTCTTTGGAGCCCAACATGGTCTAATCATCCATGCTGCCACAAATATACTGTCCTCAGCATGCCCCTCACTAGTTTAAAGCAGGCTCAGATGTGTCTATGACATTGAGTCATATCCAGAGGGAGCAGAAAACAAACAAACAGAAAAACCTTGAGGGACTACAAGGAAGCTTGGCAAGGGAGAAGAGCAAAGAAGTACAATTTCATCAGACATAGATTCAATTTAAGAGTCCTGAAAAAGAGAAACAGGCTGCATGGTGTAGACAGATGCTGTAATTTGGGAAACAGAGGGAGCGGAAGGGGGTTGGGAAATAGTCATGTGTAGGTGGGAGAGAATTTCTTCACTCTTAACCATTTCTACCCTAAACCTAAGAGAATATTCAAAAGCAGTAAGGGAAAAAAAGTCAACAAAATACAATCATTAATTAAAATTTGTGTAGCGACGTATTTGTCATGTTAGGTAAAGCAATAATTATTAAAAGTGATAATAGTTTTGGTACCCTTACAAAGCTGCTATAGATTTCCTTCAGCTGTCATGTGCCCCTGAGTTTATGGTTGACCTTTTCAGAGTACCAAAAGATCTCATCTCTGATAGCCATTGTGCTTAATCTACTTGGAGGCCCAGAGTTACAGCACTGGGTTCAGAGTCTAAGGCAACTGGGCTACAAGGCCCTATTTCCAGGAAGGGCTACCTAATAGTCTACACCCAGGAAGTATGTCAGAAGGGTCAAAAGTTCTCTTAAAAAAAAAAAAAAATGCTTCAACATTATGCTAGTGGCACATGGCATGTATGGATGGATAGGCATCTTTGCTATATGTGTGCAAATCCAAGTAATTACCTTCTTTGAATAATCTCTCTCCAGGAAAGTGATTCCGTCACAAATTCTCTGAAGTTATCATTAGTAACAATAATCCCTCCAGTTTTATCAGCAAGATGCAGCAAAAATCTACAACATTTGTTTCAAAGACAGTTAAAAACTTTTGCCTCAGTTGAAGACATTTACATCACCTAGAAAACCAGCACTACAGCCTTAAGAAGAACTCCATTAGCAAGGATACTCAGAGAAGCCAGCTGACTACCCCCGACTAAAAGTGATACTCAAATACCATATGCATTTTGCAATTGCACTGCTTATTCAAGCAGTACCCAAGAACCACCATGGAAACAATTCAATCTCCAGTCTACAGAACTCCAATATCTTCTGCCCTAGCATTCTTAAATAGAGAGATTCGGGGTTTAAAGAAAAAACTAAAAATGTAATGCAGTCTCATGTTCACACGTTTACTTCTAGTTGGACATATGGCTGTATCAACTAATAATCAATCAAAAAAGTAAGGCACATTAAGTGCAAGAACATCTCTTTTCTCCCAAGAATGGGAACGCTTACTAGTTTAAAGGGAGAGGGATGCAAATAGCAGCCAGCTGGTAAATGACAACTTCAGAGTGGCAGCTGCTTTACCTTTGCCAAATTTAGCAATAGCTGCCCTCCTAAAAGAACTTTTTCTAGCATGCTTTTTTCACTGGGAAATTTAAGACTGGGAGAATTCAGCAATAATATATACTATTCTTTTAAATAAAGTAGACTCCCTGCTTGCAATGGGGAAAACACTTGAAAGTTATTCTCAAGTGTTACAACTGGAGATATGTACTTGAAATAACTATGCTGTTTTTATTAATATATATATATATATATATATAAAAAATGAACAGAGCTATCAGCAAAGCTCCAGACATATGCATCAAAGCTCTATGACTCAATGAGTTAAGTTAGTAAGGTAACAGTATGTGATTTAAGCAAATAATATTTTTACAGTTTAGAGAGATCCTTCTGAAAACTGACTATGCCCATGTTATAAAAAAGTTACGAACATAAAACAAACCAACCATGTCTACACAAGGATGAACAATGACTTAAATTATATATTAGAAGGTTACCAAAAAAGGTATACAACAAAAACCTTTCATTTTCCTGACAGTCTGAAAGCAGACTACATAAGGAAATGACAGAAACAGCTGTACAAATGAGAATCTCTGATATCAGATGCACATTTTTAGCATCCAATTTCTACAAATATGGAGCACATCCAATATCTATTAAGTGGGTGCCTGGCTCTCTCTAGGCAAGTTAAAATTTACCTCATAATAAGATTCATGATATTTGACCTAGCAATATTCACTGTTAGACTTTTAACCTGTATCTTCCATACCTGTCATCGTGAGCAGCAATTCTTGCTCCCAATACCACCCTTGCAGGAGTTAAAGACAATATTCCAATATCCTGAAGCTCAGTTAAGAAATGCTGCTCTGTTAAAAAATTAAATGAACATTTAGTTTTAAAAGACAAGATTCTCTTAATTTTACTGTTTCCATTTCCTCAACTGTAAAGTGAGAATATTGCTTATCTTCTAGGGCAGAAGTGGGTAACCTTTGGATCTAGCTTGTGGATGTGGGGCTTCAGCTGACAGGAGGGCTTCAGCGATGGGTGCAGAGATGTGCATTGGCATCCTAGTGTCCACCCTCCTCTTAACCAACCTTGCAGTTCAAAATGGGTAACAGGACAACTGAGCTCAGCCCAACAGAAAAAATTAAGTTTAAAACTATGGAAAGGAAACAGAATTAAAAAAAGCTTGAGAGGTTGGAAAACACTGGAAGAAGAGAAAAAGCAATTATTTAGAAGACCTAAAATATTTAAGGCCTTGCCTTAAATGGGAGTTAACAGGGTAAAATCCTAGGGAAGACATGGCATATTCTAGTTTTCCCACGAGTTTACAGATCATGCTGGAAACACAAGGCATCCCAGTAGTCTAACTGACTTGCTACATCATATGGGGGGGGGAGGGGGAAAACGAACTAGAAAGTGCCTTGCACTTACAAGGATTTTCTCCCCCTTGGCTAACTCATTCAAGTTAAAAATATTTTTCTTATGGAAGATGCATCTTAAATATCAGGTCTTTAAACAGTGGATCTTTAAACAGTGTTCAAACCTAGAGGAGTTTCTTAAAATGAAAGGACACCCAAACTTTTCTGTAAGGTGAGTAGTCATGATGAATTATTCCAATCCAAAATGATACTTAGCTGCCTTTTCCTGTAATGTCCAATTAGACTTTGTCAAACAATTTGATTGAATTCAGAGAAATGTAAAAATAGTTATTTCAAAGCTATTTATTTACCAATATAACTTTCATGACCAAGGTCCCAGATATTTAGAGCTGAACTTGGAAGTGGTTCATTAAACTGAAGTCAAAAGGCAAGAAAATAGGAGATTTTGCCTCACCTGTAACAGAAGGATCACGTCTTGTTCTCCACTGTGGAACAAACACAGTAATGCTTCGGTGACCACGTTTCCAAAAGTAATCAACAGCAATAGCAATTCCTCGACAGGAGAAGAATTTATTTAGACCATGACTATTAAAAAATAAAAAAAAGAAGTTGAAATGGGTTCAAGTACAGTAGGGCAAATAAGGACACAGAAATGATTTACAGTACCAAGGTATAAGATATAGCAACTTCATTTCACATATTACACCAAAAGGAGTAGATGCTTATTGCTCTAGTTGCACAGGATGCATTCCATAACCAGGAGTATTTTAGCAGAAAGTAGATATATTGCTACCTTCCCCTCTCCCCAGCAAGGCAGGTGAACAGTGCCTAGCCTGCATGAAGTTCTGTAGGCAGAACTACCCGTTACTTGGAGATAGGGACTTTTTCTCCTTCTAAAGAGTCCACCATAAAAACTTCTCAAGTTGAAACACAACTTATTAAATGCAGGTTAAAATGAGCAATTAAAGATTCAACTATAATGAATTTTGAAGTTTTGTGCTGTAAGGAAACAGTCCCTTCTCGCCAATTGGTACAAAAATCAGTTGTCTTGGTAGGGTGCATCTCAGGGTACTGAAAGTGAGGGTACCAAGTTTGGGACATAGAAGGTCCCCAATCGCTTCTCTCACCATAGTCTTGGGGCCAATACTTTCTGGGAAGTAGCCGGATAGTGTAATGCCTCTGAATCTAGGCCATCTTCTCAAAAAATAGAATAAAAATGTTAACTTCTTAATTTTGTGATTTAGCCAAATGACATTAATAAAAATGAAAACAAATCAAGACAGTCAGGAACTAATCCATTTGTAGTCTCTGTGTTAGACACACCAAAGACTGAAGTTTTGCTGTGCTGTAGTCATCTGTATCTGTAGGCATCTGTACCCAGATGCCAAAAACCAAATGTCACAAGACAGGGCAAAAGAGACTTTGGGGAAGAGAGTGGGGGAGGGGGAAAGTCTGATACTTTTCTACCTAAAATAAAATCTTAAAAAGTTGATTAAGGAGGACTATAGCTGGTGTTAATTAAAAAATAATTCATTATTTCAAATGCATTTCTATATATTAAAAACCAGATTTACAGGAAAAAAGACAAACGTTTAGCTGGTATAGAAAAAGAATGTGTTTGCGCAGCACATTTCCTGATAACAAATGGGAAAAAAGTTGCAAGATGTAAGGTTTTTCTGAAGGTAACTTTTATGCGACCAATCGTATGGTTGAGAGAGATGTTAAACAAGTTTTCAGGCACAATGTGCCCTTCTGCAGAAGAGGGAGAGAAGCAGATACAAACTAAGCTAAATACCAGATGAAATAATACCCTGTGATTAAGTCCATATTTACATATGGACTTAATCATATTTACTCAATCCTGTAATAATGGGAGTGAGCATTGCACAAATATTTAATTCAGTGCAAACTTAAAGGCTTGCTTTCAGAAATAGTAAAGAAGGTATGTTTGAGATATTCTGGAATTTGCATTTTAGAAGTACAACTGATTGGCCTACAGTATGATTAGTGTGTTAAATATTACATCTTCTCTCTAAAGTAGACATGGCCAAAAAGCAGAGTCCCTAACTCTCCTAGGAGGGTTAAAGATGGCACAAGGCAAGTCAAGAGCCTAAGCAAGGACTGGGTGTTTTCTCAGCACACTGTAAATGAGGGTAGAAGCCAGAGGAACACGAGGGGTGAAGAAATGGAGTGGGGATCAGGATGGGGATGGGAAAGGGTTGTTGGAAATACAAGCAAAAAGAAGGGAGCAGAGGTGGGTGTGCCTCTAAAAACCACATTTCCAATATATAAAATCTCTCATAAGATATGAAATTGCAGTAAAAATGAGGGCACAACCTTGGAAAAAGGTTACATGCTGGCTTAGTAACACATTTAAAAGTATCTTGGTCAGAAAGTTATTTTCAATTACAATTTTCTCTTTTTTGTAATCAAGAGTTTGCAGCTGACTGAACAGGAGACGGCAAGTATCACTGAACAAGCATGCGGAGAACATACCAAGGTTATGGTGCTATATGGAAGTAAAATTTTACCTAATTTCTCAGATTGTATAAATGAGGAAACATTTTACCAATCTATTTTGAGTGTTTTTTCAAAGTTTTTAAACCCAGTGCAGTGTACACAGTTTTTTCCCCCCCCCGAAGTGTTCAATATATTTATGCCTGCTGCAATGCAATGTATTTGGACAGAATTGAGCTCAATTGTGTAAAAGTCCATTCTCTTCCGTCTACAACTTCTATATTAATAAAAAAAAGTTAGTAGTAAAGAGGATGTGGTGCATTTGTTAGTTTCTACATAACCCCAGCAATTTGCATTTCTTTTCCCTTTATACAAGTTTGGGAAATCAGTCGAAAAAGCTCAGAATAAATTATGACTCATAATTGTGACTTGCATTTTTACATCACTATTTTTAAACAACACAATCCGAAATAAGTTCATTTAAAAAACTATTTACTGTAACAAAGCAGCACTGTATTTTTAGTCAAGTACTGTCACAGTTATGGATCATTTAAGGTTTGCCCCATAAAAAACAACCAGGATCACAACAGTCAAATGACAGGAGTACTTCAATCCTGAAATGCAAAGCTTAGCACCTAAATTCATGCTTCAGAAGAACAGTGCTAAAGTTTTCAACCCTCAGAAAGTTAGAACAAGTCAACAAATTTTCATTTTTACTTAATAATAGTCACCCCTGAGAGACGGTTATACAAAATATCTGAAGGATTCTTAGACTATTTTTATAAAAGAGAAGGTCATAAATCAAATGAGCATGGCATTTTATTGACAATTCATGAGCCACTTGGGAATACTCAATAAACAAAGAAAAACTGATTTCCTGGGATATTTATTTATTTGAGGCCATTCAAGCTGGTTTTGGGCTCAGCCTCCATTGCTTCAAGCAATTTCATGCGAGTATTATTAAATCTTTGCTTTCAAACAGCCACCAGAAGAAAAGCTTGTTCTGCCCAAAGAAGCACACAGGCACTTCCAGCATCATTATCTGCAAAAAGTAAGTTAAAGGCTCCCAGTGAAAGAGATACAGGCTACAAGTGCCTATATAAAGCTGAATTATACTGAGGAAGCAGCTTTTTTAGAAATAACTCTGAAAGCAGTGTCTTTTGATCTGGTAATGTATCAGCAGATGAAATATGAAAATAGCAGTCAAAATTGCAATC